AGTAGAACCTGTCTCTTATACACATCTGATGTGTATAAGAGACAGGTATTTAATGTTTGAACACGAAGAGCTTTATCCAATAAATTAAATTTCGGAGGGGGCGGGCGATTTTCCGCCCGCCCCCAACTTATCCGATAAATTTTCTAGGGGACCGGTTCGGAGTTAAGTTTCATATAACCTATTTGGCCTAGTTGTTAAGTGAGTAATGGTTTTATTCGGTGTATTAACCATGATTTTAGCGATTGCCCTATTTTCCCTTCGAATTCCTGCGATTTATTTTAACCGAATCACAATTATCCTATTATTATTTTCTGCATTATTATCATATTATTTACTTTATATTGATTTAATTGGTTCAGGAGTAGGAGTATTCGGTGGATTATTTCAAGTTACAACGATTACTCAAAGTATTGATGTATTTATCTATTTAGTAGGAGCTTTAGTACTTTTATTAAGTTCAAGAGCAAGTGGAGCACATACTCTACCATCTAATGGGTTAAATTCAACTTTAGTAAATAAGGGTAAATGATCATAAGGATTAGCTGAATATCCTCTTGTTGCTTTATTTTCTGTATTAGGTATGAGTAGTTTAATCTCAAGTAGTGATTTAGTTTCTATGTTTTTATCTATTGAATTACAAAGTTTTGCTGTGTATCTTTTAGCTACTATTTATAGAGAGTCTGAATCTGCTACAGCAGCAAGATTAAAATATTTCTTATTAGGAAGTTTATCTTCAGCTTTAATTTTATTAGGAAGTAGTTTATTATATGGTTTCACAGGGCTAACAAGTTTTGAGGGACTATATATGTTATGTTCTACAACAACAGCAAACACTGCTATTGAAATTAGTGTGCTATTGATTGTTGTAGGTTTACTATTCAAAGTATCTGCGGCTCCATTCCATAACTGGGCCCCAGATGTATATGATGGTGTACCAACTGTAGTAACAACTTGGTTAACAACAATGCCAAAAATTTCTTTCTTAGTGTTTATTTTAGAATTCCAAGGATTTACACAATTAGCTAATTGGTCTTCATGGACTTATTTATTATTAATTAGCTCATTATTATCATTATTAGTTGGTACAATCGGAGGATTAGCTCAATATAGAATTAAACGATTATTAACATATAGTACAATTTCTCATGTAGGGTTTTTACTTTTAGCCTTAGCTATTAATAATGAAGAATCTGTAGAATCATTTTTATTTTACCTGATCCAATATACATTAACTAACATTAATGTATTCTTTATTTTAGTTGCATTTGGTTATTTATTACAAACTAAAGGATTATCAATTTATTCACCAATTCAATATATTAACCAATTAAAAGGTCAATTTAAAGTAAATCCTTTACTTGGATTAAGTTTTGCGATTTGTTTATTCTCTATGGCGGGAATCCCTCCATTAGTAGGATTCTTTGGTAAACAGATGGTTTTATATGCAGCAACACATAATGGAAATTTCTTCTTAGCCTTTGTAGCAATTTTAGTAAGTGTTGTTAGTGCGGCATATTATCTAAGAGTTATTAAAGTAATTCATTTTGATCCCGCGCCAGCGCCTGCGGCGCCTACACTGGCTCAGCCCGCGGAGCGGGCCTCACCTTTAAATGTTACAGAAACTGTTGAAACAAATAAAGGTTCAGGTGTAGTTCCGTCAGGAGAATTAACAACTTCAAGTAGTTTAGTAATTGCTACAATTACTCTTCTATTAATTTTCTTTATTATTAACCCAACACCATTATTAAACAGTGTTCACCTAATCACTTTAAATCTATTTTATTGGTAATGAGTACATTAACATTTTTTATTTTATTTTTTCCTGTATTAACTTTAGTTTTACTAATTGTTAATCAATTGTTAGCTATTAATAAACCTTACAGTGAAAAAGTATCACCTTACGAATGTGGGTTTACACCTCTTGGTGATGCTAGACAAAAATTTAGTGTTCAATTCTATTTAGTTGCTATTCTATTTATTGTATTTGATTTAGAAGTTTTATTTTTATTTCCATTTGCTGTATCTTTATATGAGATCTCAACAATGGGATTCTGGATTGTAATTTTATTCTTAATCATTCTTACAATTGGATTTGTATATGAATTTGCCAAAGGAGCCCTTAAATTTACTAAGGATCCTTTAACATCTAAAATTAATCTTAATTAATACTAAATATT